CCCCAAAACCCCAAAACCCCAAAACCCCATCGTGTCTGAGATATCTAGATTTCCCCGTTTAATATCAGCCTAAACAACATTGATGAAAGTCGGCTCTAAGGAGCCTGAGACAGCTGAGATTGTATTTTTAGTGTATTTAACAATTATTCTTTACCGTTATTAACCTCCCATTCTTCCTTCTTTCCTTCAGGATCTATTATATTAGTCGTATCCTTTTCATCCTGAGGCTGGTTGTCTAGTTCTTCTTGAGAAATAGCAACTAGCTCTTTCTTTGGAGGATCCTCTTGGTGCTGACCATCCTCTTGAGCATCTTTGCTCAAGTTGTTATCTTGAGGAGATTCTTGTTGTTTTTCTTTGTCTGTGTCAGGTGGGTGATCAGGTTGTGAGTGTGGCTCTTCTTCTGATTTGGTCTCTTCAATTTTATCGTCTTTAGGAGCATGGATGACACTGTATTTGTCAGGATCTGCATCGCTTCTCTTCCTGCTGTATGAACTGTTGTTATCTCTAATAGTATGAACATCACTATAATTTCCTTCGAGACCGTCGAAAACTATGGTTTTTGGGTAATTCAATTTATTTGTGAGTTTTCTGTCCATAGTGTATTTGTCATCCTCAGAATCTAATTGAAGGAATTTTAGGAGCCTCTCAACATCATCAACATTAATGAGAGATACGTCGAACTCTTTAGATACTCTTTTCTCTTCAATTTTAATATTTTGTAGGTTCTCAATCTTTGCTATTTGGTCTTCGAGTTCTTTAAGCTTCTTATTCTTTCCTGTATCAGCCTTTGAATTAAGGTCTGGAGTTTTCTTAATCTTTGATTTCCTATTTCTGTATTTTATTTCTTTCTCAATGCTCTGAGTCTTCGCAAGGATGGTTATCCTGATGAGACCTTTCTTGAAATGTTCAAACTCAATATAATTGATTTCTTCCCCATCCGGGTCTTTATCAAAGACACTCTGCATTTCTCTTTCAAGTGTTCTAAAAATAGCTACCATGTCGTCAGAAGTAAGGAGGTGAGGATTGATGTTCGTTCTGGTACCGAATCTCACCCAGTCAGAGAACTCGATAACATTCATGCGTTTTTCTAAGTTTCCTCCAATGCTCATGTCGCCTTGGAGAGTATAGTATTTATACATTTGGAGGAGTTGTTGGTCATACAGATTCATCAAGCTCTGGACCTCTTCAGAGTTATAAAATCGTTGTATCTCCTTCCTCTCCTTAACTTCAAGTTTCCTGGTGTCCTTATTCTTGGACAGGAAGCCTTCCATCTGATGCTTCATTTTGATCTCCTTATCCTTCTCTCGTTGTTGGAGTTCCTTCTGTTTATTCTCAACTTGGATTCTGGATTCCTTCTCAGCCTCGAACTGAGCCTTAAGTTTTTGGTTTTGTTGCTTAAGGAACTGCTTGTTCTTCTTTTTCTTCTCTAGATTGGCTTTCTTTTCTCTTTCCTCTTCCTCTTGTTGGTATTTCTCAGCTTGTTCCATTCTCTTCTTCTTGAGATCTTCCATTTCTTTCCTTTTCTTCTCCTTTTCCATCTTTTTACGTTTGGCTTCCTTTTTCCTTCGTTCGAGTTCTGCTTTTTCAGCTTCTTCGAACTGAGCAAGTTTTTCGAGTCTCTCTTTTTCACGCTGTTCTTGCATTTGTTTTACCTTCTTCTTGAGATCCTGAATAGATGGTTAGCATGACGAAGTGAGAAAAGGTGAAAATATGTAGAAAATAAGGGAGGCTAAAAGATTTAGGGGGATTACCTGCTCTCGTTTCTTCCGTTTCTCTTCCTTTCTCTTTTCTTTCTCCATTTCTTGCTTCTCATGGACAATCCTTTCTTGTTCTATTTTATTCACTCTTGCGTGGGAGGAGGGTGTTGGAAGTTTGGATTTCCCTTTGTTGACAGCCTGAAGGATCTGTTCAAGTACTTCAGCACATTCAGTCACATTCTCTCGCTTATCAAATGGGTATCTCCCTACTTCGATCAGAAGAGACGTTGAAAGATCAATTGAGGGCTTTTGAGGATCTGCTCTAGATTTAGAGCTTTTCCTAGAACTTGCTCTTGGGTCATTAAGAGGCTTAAGCTTATTACTTCTCTCAATCTTCTTCATATATTGCAAAGGCTGCCTCTGTTGGTTAATCTGCTTCTTGAAAGTAGGCCTGACCTTGACAGTTTCTCTGTATTTGACCATGGGCTCAATGAAATGGAAGTCAAATAGTTTATCTCATAAGGAATCAAGAATGGAGATGGAGACTCTTTGGGCTTCTGATATTTCATAGTACTCAGGAAGCTTATATTCGTACTCAAAGTCTTTTTCATACACTTTGGTGTATCCTTCAGGGAGAGAGTAACTGGGATTCACCTTGATCCTTCTATTTAGCTCGTCTAATACCTTTTTGTCACCAAGAGAGGTTGCATCAGGGTCCTCATATAAGAGAGTTGACTGTCCTCTGCTCTTTGCTGATTCCTCGAAGAAGTTTATTAGTTTTATTAAAGTTTCTGCTGGGGTAAGATGTATCAGATTATTAGGAGGCCCGGCATAGATCACATATGCTAGTTGTGTAAAGAACTCAACAAAGACTGGGTAGGCTAGAGGCAAAGGTGTAGAGTCAGGCTGCACCCTCCTCACAATTTCTGATACTTTAGATTTTCCAATTATTCTGTTAGTAACGTGATGGTCTCTTAACATTTTCATAATCTCTGCAATGGTGATAGTTTGTAATTTCTTATTCAGTTCCTCAAAATTACTGAATGCTTTGACTGAATAACCAGAATTAGCATATTTGCTGAACAGGTATTTCAATAGTTTAGTATATTTCTTCGCAACAGTTTTAACCGCATTCACATCTCTTTCCTCTTCAGCATCGTATTCAAAAAGATTAACTTCAGGACCCTTAAAATTTTCTTGGAATCGTTTTCCAACGCCCCCTAATTTAGAAAACTTGCTTGAAATACTTGAGTTGAAAGCATTGCTTTGAAGTCCTCTTGAGGCTGTGAAGTCGTTAAAACCTGCTGTTTGCTCAACTTCGCCTTCCTTAAATAGCAAGGCATCCTTGTTGTCACTACCTGTTCTTTTCTGGATGCCTAGTTCAACTCTTCTAAGTTCAATTTGCTTCTTGAGCTTCTTCTTCCTTTTCTCTTCAATAAGTTTAATCTTTTCTTGTTCTTGGTTTTTCTTTTTGATAACTTCTTGTCTTTGCTTCCTGATCTTGTCTAAATCTTCAAAAGCTTTCCGATCAACTTTATTCTTAGGCTTCTGCTTGAGATAGGGAACGACTGCCAGGGTCTCCTCTCCAGTGGGAGGCCGACGGAGACTACCTATTCTTTTTCTGGAATTTCTAGAAGTGCCATCGGTGGAGTAATCTCTCCTTTTTCTCCTACTTTGAGAACTCTTTTTGACAACTTCTTCCTGCTCGTCGTCTACTTCTTCTACTTTTTCGAGGACTTTTGACTCAGACTCTGCTTGTTTCTTGAGTCTTTCAATTTCTTCTCTTTCGAATCTCTCTATGAGATCTCTTGCATTTCCGATAAGATCGAGAATGGAGATAAGTCCTTTATCGTATTGCCCAGGCTGCTCATTTCTTTGCTCTAAAGATTAAGTTGGATGTTACCAAGCTGAGTGATGATAGACAAGCATAATGATTCTATTAGCTCATTAATATCAGGATTTTGGAGAGCGATTAGCTTCTTTCAGATTTCAATCACACACCCTTTCTTTAATTTCTCGTTAATAGCCTTCTGGTTCATCGGTTTCTTAGCTTCTTTGGCAGACCTCTTGGCTCTTGAAGGAGGAAGAGGTATAGGCTTCCTCTTCCTCGCTTTTTGTGATTCCAAGCTCATTTTGACTTCTTCCTCAGATGAGAGAATGTTTGATAGTGCCAGAGTGATGAATTTCTGAACATATCCCATGAGGAGAGGATACTTCATGAAGCTGGTAACTATAATCATGAATGGAACTGATGCTGCAAATGCAAAAACAGGGTCGTTCAGGTATATCTTGGCTAGGATGTCCATTAAAGGAATCGCATCATTCAGCTTTAGCTTTGGATGCTTTGCAACAACAGTAAAGAAATCAAAGTCGAAGGTATTGTATACGTAAGAAGTTCCTTCAGATTCCATTAACTGTTTTATCAAAGGCTCAAGGAGAATTCCTACAGGGACAGTATCTGAGCTCTCGAAGAAAGATATAAAATTCGACATCAAAAATTGCCTTGTTGTGTTGTCTGGATGGTTCTCAATAAATACAAAAATCAGTGCTTTGTACAGGACGGGAGCAGCTGAAATTTTTTGCTCAGTAAAAAGTTCTAATAGCTTAAACATCTGCGAAATTGCAGTAAATTGTAAGGCTTTGTCAGAATTCCTAATCATTATTTTAAGATCATCGATCACAGCTTCTGAAATTTCCTGTGTGATGACTGGGTCATTATTTATCCATAATTCAACAAGGAAGGAGGAAGTTACAGATCTCAGGAGATCACTTGGCAAAGTTTCAAAGTTCTCAACGATCTCATTTACTTTATCCGTCAAGAAGCCATCTACTTCTTGTCTAAAATGTTCATTTTCCAGAATTATAGGGAGATAAGAGAGTAATTGTTCATAATATCCCTCTTCTTCTTTATAAAATTCCATAAAATACTCAGTAAATAAAGCATTCAAGTTTCCTCTGCTAAATCCTAGAATTAAGGTTGACATATCAGTGAAAAGATCTGGGTTGTTGGAGACGAGCTCTAAACAGGTCGACAGGAAATGTACATCTCCACTTGTGAACCACTCCCATGCTTTTTCTGAGAGCTTGAGTTTATCAAATTCAAATGACATCTTTGAGAGTAGCTTAATTGTCCAATCAATCATTTCTTCTGATTTGGAGTTTATTCCTACCTTAATGGTACTCATCACTAGTGATAAGGTGTTTGGAGCTTCTTCGATCTCTTGGGAGATTAACAAAGAGAGATGTTTAGAATTCTCGAAGATTAATTTATACCAATCTAGCAAAGATTCAAATCCATTTTTGAGACCCTTACAGCAAGCTTCTTTTAAGAATTTATTCTCCTTCGCTAAAAAGGCAGCAGCTTGCTTCCCGGTAAGTTTCAAAGATTGGGAAAGAGTGACTAGTATGAATTCAACTCAATTTACTCAGTCACTCGGATTTTCAGTCTTTATCTGGTTAATATCAACTGCGGATTTAGGAAGTTTCTTCTGAGGCTTCGCTTCTTCTTGAGTATGCTCCTGGATTTCATTCGTAGTATTTGCATTTTCCTTCGTATTATCTCTTGATTTATTAACCAAGGAGGTAGTATCAACATCACCGTGGAGTATATTTTTCATGCTGGTGAGTAAGTTCGAGATTGCTCCAAAATCTCCCTGAATTATATCTCTCTTATCCTCAGGTGTCAAGAAGAGATCAAGCATTTCAAGTTCTTTGGACAGGATACTCCAATTATATAACTTGGCTTGGTCTGTACTGCTCACTTTAAGGGTCTGAAGCTTATCGATGTTTACTCCAAGTCTTTCTCCAATCTGTTTTTCCAAAAACAGAGTTATATATGTGAGAAATTTTGCAATTGTGAGCCCATTAAGCATGAATTTGGTAGCATTAGCATCCAAAACCACACTTTTACCACTCTCGTTGAACTTGAAGGTGGGGCTTTCCTTTATCGAGTATCAGTTGACTAGAACATTAAATAGCGAAGCTTCGATGTCCATTTTTAAATTCAATTATATTAAAACTAAGAGGGGTTTTGGGGTTTTGGGGTTTTGGGGTTTTGGGG